AAGAAAGGCTCAGTCAAAGATTTGTTGTTCATGAATACATCTTCATTTACTTAACAAGTACAAGAGAAGCAGAGCCCAAGTCTAGGAATAATAGTGTTATTGAGCAGGTTTTTGGAATAGGAACCTCAATGCTGAAGGAAATACAAGCAGAAGTGACTGTTAAAATATTTACCAACTCATATGAATAAGAAGTGCCACAAGTAGTATTGGAGCTGAGTGCTAAAGGCCCCTTGTCTGTTCAGTTGCTGGACCATAATGAGATACAAAGGTCCAAAGGGAAGAGTCAGAGTGGCCAGGGTACCCATGGTGGGAGGACTTGGAGGGTTGGGGGTAGCAGCTTCATATCAATTGGCACAGAAATATTTCAGCATGTGTAATAATCAGTAGAGGCATGCTGGTATGGCAACCAAACAGCAGGCCTGGATACAAGATTCAGACTAGATTATGAACAGGCCAAGCAAGCAGAACTATCAACATAGTTTATCAAGAGCTACATGCTTATATGTTTCATAACCCTAAAATTAGACTGTGGTGACTTACTTTTGCTTTTTAATTCTAAATCAGCTGGACTGTAACCTCAGTGAAAAACAGTAATTGTGTAAATTGTGTTTACCTATCACAGGGCTCAATAAATAGTTGTTTAATGAATAAATATCCAGTTAATTTCTTCTAGTACCTGGAGTGTCCTGAGGATAGAAAGCTCTGAGAATCATTCTGATCTTGAATTGACCTTGGAGGTCTACTCCAGGCTCAAGCTGGTCCAATAATATTTGAACCCTTCAATATCAATTCATAAGCCTCACCTAGAAAAAAAATACAAGGGTGCTCTACAGTTAAATGATGTCCCTAAAGCAGAGCTGAACCCTTAAAGGAGAAGGACAGAATCACACAAGTTGTAAGAATCCTGAGCTGTACCATAAACTTTTCCAATTTTACTCAAATTCTTTTCGGTAAATATGAGTCCAGTTTACAATTGTAGAGAGAAATAAATTTCAGGAAATAGGTTACCTATGAACTTCAGTCACCCAAGGTCTTATGACAATTTAGGTCTTATGATAAAGTGCCTGTATTCATTTGGGGAAGTAAAAACCAGAACTACATTGCAATTCTGTAGTCTATAAATTTCTCATCTTTAAAGAGAAATAGCAGAACAATTCAAATGAGCTGCCTATAACAATAATTTGGTATTTGTAATTGATGTCAATACACTGTAATTTGATTTTCATCATTTTATAGATGCTTTCAAATATAATTACTTAAAGGCTAATTCATAAAATGGTGACAAATGATGCTATACATTTACACTATAAGAAATATGAAACCAACAGGAAATAAGAACATTTTTCAACATTTCTACTAAACTTTGAGGGAAAGAACCACCAACATGATTGGAGATCAAAAGTCCCAAATTTCCAATAAGCATTTTCCAAAAGATAATTATCTTTATTTTAACATCATGAGACTATTTTTGCCACCATTTATTTATGTTTGCTTTCAAATATTATTTATCATGGATTTTCATACATATATAATTTGCTTTGCTATTCTTTCATGGAAATGACTAGTCATAAAAATATTAAGTTAGCTTTCATTTGATTTAATGAACATCTATTGTTATTGATTTGTTGATTTATTTTCTCCTTGTATTGACAGAAAGCAATCGTCCACTTAACTGCACAATTATTTCAGTGTATTGCACATACTAATTCTCACCAAGCCACCCTTTCATGCAAATACATATTATGTAGTAATGCTATTTTATTCTGGTTACCTGAAGTTTGATTCATTTCATTGGAAGATAAATAAATATATATATGTGTGTGTGTGTGTGTGTGTGTGTGTGTGTATAAACATCACTCCTACCCTCAAAGCAGCCTTGCAGGAAGTAAATAGCATGTAAAAAATTATCCCGAGAGAACTATTTATTTTGTTTTTCCACTTCCAAAAATCAGTTTTAATAAGACTCAAATATTAAAGGTAAAAGCCAGAGAGTTTACTTAAAACCTGGAGTAGAGCAACTTAGTTATTACTTTGGTTCTTAAGAACCTCAGGGAGTCTGGTTACTTTTGGAAACTAATCCATAAGAAAGATAAATAAAACCTAAAAATTCCAAAAGTGCAATGTAGACTGTATCCCTTGAATTGATTTCAGTGATTGAACGACCTTCTGACAGAAAATTACCTGAGACGGGGTCAAACCTACTCTGAGCCTTCCAATAGTGACCTAAAATCCAAAGATGAGACATAAATTAAAGTGACCTATACAGATAGGAAGCAAGACTATACTGGGCATCATTTTTAACGGCTTCGACTTCTTCCCTGCTTAGAAAGAAAGCAAAGGGATTAACCAAAGAATATATATCAAGACCCAGAGATACAGACAACAGTGTGCTGATGGCCAGGGTTGAGGAGGAGGGAAGTAGGAAATGGAAACTTCTGTAATAGTGTCAACAATAAAAATAAAGATAAAAAATAGGATGATCCTTTGTAAGTACTGAATCATTAACACTCCATTTTTATACAACCACAAAACTAATACTGTAAAATCCTGAAAAAATGAGACAGAAAAATACATCATTCCACATGTTTCATGTAACATTTTAAAAGGGAATACAATTGTCATATAAGTGAAACCTATAATGAAAGACAGAATCAAAAGTAATTACTTAAGACCAAAATATGCAAACCCACAATCTCATATGTATATTTCATTCAAACATTAAAGGCAGCATATTTCAGGTCAAATAAAAATAATACCAACCCTGGCTGGTATAGCTCAGTGGATTGAGCACAGGCCTGCAAACCCAAGCATTGCCAGTTTGAGTCCCAGTCAGGGCACATGCCTGGGTTTCAGGCCAAGTCCCCAGTGGGGGGGGGGGGGGACATGTGAGAGGCAACCACGCATTGATGTTTTTGTCTCTTTCTCCCTCCCTTCCCCTCTCTCTAAAAGTAAGTAAATAAAATCTTTATTTATTTTTTTAAAGATTTTATTTATTTATCTTTAGAGGGGAAGGGAAGGAGAGAGGGAGAGAAATATCAATGTATGGTTGCCTCTCATGCGTGCTCTGCTGGGAACTGGTCTGCAACCCAGGCATGTGCCCTGACTGGGAATTGAACCGTGATGCTCTGGTTTGCAGGCCCGCACTCATTCCACTGAGCTACACTAGCCAGGGGTTAAATAAAATCTTTAAAAAATTAATACCAAAATATTATCTTTATTTATTTAAATATTGCATGAATTCTTGGGAAATTTTAATGAGTATCTTTAACAATAAGCATTTCGATGACATTAGAGGGAAAAAACTGAAATCTAAGAGTATAAATGCATTTCTAAATTTGGTACTTGTTAAATACTGTGGACTTTTATATAATACTATGTAGTTTTAATGTTTACAAATATATCTGCTTTACAGCCTGGTACTGGCATAAAAACAGGCACATAGACCAATGGAACAGAACAGAGAGCCCAGAAATCAACCCAACTCTCTACAGTCAATTAATATTCGACAAAGGGGGCAATAACATAAAATGGAGTAAAAATTGCCTCTTCAACAAATGGTGTTGGGAGAACTGGATGGCTACGTGCAAAAAAATGAAACTTGAGCACCAACTTACACCATACACCAAAATAAATTCAAGGTGGATAAAACACTTAAACATAAGCCGTGACACCATTAAAGTCCTAGAGGAGAACATTGGCAAGAAAATCTCAGATATTTCACGCAGCGACATTTTTACTGATATGTCCCCTAGAGCAAGGAATGTAAAGAAAAAAAATAAACAAATGGGATCTCATCAAAATAAAAAGCTTCTGCGTGGCTAAAGAAAACAGTATTAAATTAAAAAGACAACCAACAGTATGGGAAAACATATTTGCCAATGATACCTCAGACAAAGGTTTAATCTCCAAAATATACAAAGAACTTACAGGACTCCACTCTAAGAAGACATCTAACCCAATTAAAAAATGGGAAAAGGACTTGAACAGACACTCCTCCAAGGAGGACATACAGAATATCCAGAGACACATGAAGAGATGCTCAATATCACTAGCTATCAGAGAGATGCAAATTAAAACCACAATGAGATACCACTTTACACCGGTCAGGATGGCTTATCATAAACAAAGCAACAAACAACAAATGTTGGAGAGGTTGTGGGGAAAAGGGGTCCTTAGTTCACTGTTGGTGGGATTGCAGACTGGTACAACCATTATGAAAAACAGTATGGAATTTTCTCAGAAAAATAAAAATCAACCTGCCTTTTGACCCAGCAATTCCACTGCTAGGATTATATCCCAAGAATCCTAAAACATCAATTTCAAAGAACCTATGCACCACAATGTTCATAGCAGCACAATTTACAATAGCTAAGAGTTGGAAGCAACCTAGGTGCCCTTCAGTAAATGAATGGATCCAAAAATTGTGGTACATATACACAATGGAATTCTATGCTGCAGAGAGAAGGAAGGAGCTACTACTACCCTTTGCAACAACATGGATGGAACTGGAAAGCATTATGCTGAGTGAAATAGGCCAGGCATTGAAGGACAAATACCATATGATCTCACCTTTAACAGGAAGCTAAACACCAAAACAAACAAGCAAGCAAAATAAAAACAAAGACACTGAAATAGAGAACAAGGGGACAGTGACCAGAGGGTAGAAGGAAGGGAATTTAAGGGAAAAAGGGGTGGGATTTTGAAGAACAAATATGAAGGACACAGGGATAATAACTAAGGGGGGGGTGGGAGGGAGGTGGGGAGCACGGGGCGGGGGGGCTAGGATGGGAGAAATAGACAAAAAACTGTACTTGAAAAATAGCTAAATTAAAATTTTAAAAAGTTTTAAATTAAAGAAAATAAATAAGGAGTTACCTATATTTACATAATTGCCAGGAAAAAATACCAAAATAAATTAATGAGGAACAGGAAAAAAATATATATATATCTGCTTTATAATTTATTAATACATATCTCTGTATATAAAAAAACTTCACACCAATACTGTTACCCAACAAAATTTAATCAGTTTAGAAAAGACAAAGAATGACATCAATATTTTATCTTTTTTGTAATTCATTAACATATACAAATTCCACAATGTATAAAACAATGTACACAAACAGTTTTTAAGTATCTACAAGAGGCTAAGTCAGTTTTCCCAAAACCCATGGCCATTGTCTCTTCCTAATCGAATGTGTGAATGATGACTATTAATTGACAGGGTTATGGGAGGGGATGCTGGAGAAGAAGTGATTAAAATATAAACAAGGTCAATCAGGGGTACCTATTATTAGATCATAGAAATGTAAAAAAGATGAAAACAAACTGATTTTGTGATCAAAAGGAACAAGTTGTGAGGGCACTGGGGTAATTCAGTCTATAAAATTTAATCAAAGGCCAAAAAGAAAATTGGAGGGGGAATAAGTAATCACTAATGCACAAATCTTATTAATATATAATGCAGTCATAATAATTCCATAACAGATACGTACATTTTATTTTGCAAGCAAAAGCACATGCTGATCATTTCACTATATCTAAGAGAAAGTGTAGGCTGTTAAGTGTGGAGTTTGTTTCCAAGTCTGCAATAAAGCATACCACTGTTTTTGGTGTGTTTTAAAACTTAATTTATTGAGGCCCTGGCTGGTGTAGCTCAAGTGGATTGAGTGTGGGCCTGCGAATCAAGAGTATTGCAGTTTGATTCCCAGTCAGGGCACATGCCTGGGTTGTAGGCCAGTTCCCAGCAGGGGACACAGGAGAGGCAACCATACATTGATATTTCTCTCCCTCTCTCCTTCTCTTCCCCTCTAAAGATAAATAAATAAAATCTTTTTTAAAAACTTAATTTATTGAATTTAGATTCCAAAATCAACATAACATGTTGCTGACTATTATTCTTAATCAGGATCTTGACTGAGGTTAATCTAAGAAATCAAAAGTTGCCAAGAGAGCCTCTTTCTTCACTACTACCTGATGGTTCTCTATGTACTTTCTCCTCTTTACCTGCACAATTTCCTTCCTGTCATCACTTAGAACCACAATGAAATGAAAAAGCTGCCGCTTGCCCCAGGAAAGTGTAAAAGCATCAGATTTCAATTGCAAATTTTGATGTCAAATTCTATATTTTCCTTAACCCATTCTTCCATATTTTTTCACATATTTAAATACAACTTCAGTTTCAAGATTTTTCCTTAGTCAAGGAACATGTATAAAGGACACATGGACAAAGCCAAAGGTGGGTAGGGTCAAGGATGGGAGGTGGGGATGGCCGGGGGGGGGGAGTGTTGGAGGGAAATTGGAAACAACTGTACTTGAACAATAAAAAATTCTAAAATATATAATAATAAAAAATAAAAATATTTCTGCAACTGCATAAAAACCCCAAACCCCAACTCCAAACAAAAACAGCCATAGACAGTCTGTAAATGAATAAGTTTAGCTGTGTATCAATATAAGTTTAAACTCTGAAAGAAAAAGAATTTCCCTTAGGCTGTTCTGACTGTCAGTGTAAAAAAACAGAATGAATGTTGAAAATAAAACAAAGAATATTTAAGCATTACTTATAAATCTTTAAACACTTTGTGGTGAAATAAATGCCTCTCTCTGTATGATATCATTTCTAGTGCTCCTTTCAGTAGCTGAAAGCAATAATCCTGTCTTTGACTCAGTTTTGTACCACTTTCGTAGTAAATAAAACTGATGAGTGAGAGTGAGGTAATGGATTTAGGATGCCAGTGGCAATTAAATAAATAAGTACATACGAAATTTACAGACATGAATGTGGCAATTATTAAACATATCAAAATAATTAGAAAATATAGTCATACAACTTAATTATTAAAATTATCTCCTAAAAGAATGCAGATGTACCATTCATTGCTCAAATAATTTCTCAAAAAATTTAATAACCCTACCCCAAAGGAGCCCTGATGTGACAGGAACCAGAGAAAACTATTGTTATTGTTACTCCAGTCCTTTAAGTCAGTGCAATAAACTTATAATTGGTTCCTACCGCAGATGTGACACAAATTCCCTACTTCTCTGGTTCGATATTTGTAGGTTAGGAGTGCTGAATTCAGAACTGTTTCTTGAGCAAGAATGTAGGTGAGCTTCTAGGTCTTTCGATGTCTCTATCTTCTGCTCTTGAGAGATTTGAAGGCTAATCTGATTCACATTATTCATTAGCAAATTGGAAGTCATAAGATTGGTTATGGAAAGGCACTTCGTGAGATTTTCTTCCAAAAATTGTTTGTATACCTCATCCACTTTTTTTTCCATATAACTATTAAGCATAGAATTAGAGAGAGGCTGCTTATAAAACAACATACTTTTTTCTCGAATTTCATCCCCACTCAAAAGTTTTGGGGCAGGTTGTTTCTCTGCAGGCTCAGTGGTAGGAGAATGGCCCAATGGGATATCTACTGAAAGTAAAAGCGGACCGTTAACAGCATCATCACGTATGTGTTCCACAAAGCAACCTGAATCATACATGTTCCCCACATGGTCTCCTCCAATCTGTAGGTCAGGATAATTCTGGCAAATACTTGTGCATGACCAAGATCGGTATAAATCCAGTTGCCTTTCATCATATTTTTCTCTCTTGGGAATGGGCAGTGCAACAGACACATTTCCTGGAAAGGATGCACTTTTACATTTCGCTCCACTTATCTCATCCACAGACTTTCTTTTATTTGTATCATTAATTTGCTCTGCTAACCTTTCTTTCTCAACATGATGTTGATTTTCTACTTTATCAGGGGAAAGCGAATTATCCTCTATACCTAAAAGCTGTTTTTTCCAAGTTTTCTTTTCAGCATTTGAGGTCTTCTTACATGTGAGTGGTTTATATAATTTTGTATATTTCTGTTCTTTGTATAAGAGCTCAATTAGGAAGGCTTCTCCAAGCATTTTATTAGGCAAGATTTCTAAACAGAAGACTGCAGTATATTCCTGAAATTATAAAAGAACTCATTAAGGCAACAAATATTAAAATGTCAAGTTAAGATTTATCTTCTACATGAAACACAAGTGATTGCTCAAAGGATAGAAAACAGAACCAGGAGTAAGGAGACTTGGGTTCCAATTCTGCCATTACCATTTTTAATATTGGGTAAATCACTGTTACCAGATCTCAATTTTCCTATTAGTTAAATGGTGATAATACTCCTCTGCTTTCTTCACAGGATGATTTTCAGGATATTATATGATGCACATGCAAATGCTTTAAAAACTATAAACTTATACAAGAGTATAATTATGTATGTGTGTATATATACACATTTATATATTCAACTGTAATAAATTATTTATTTTAGATGTATTAGTTAAAATACCTAGCACTTTCCCTATCTTCAAATAGTCTACCTAAAATCAAGCCTGGTTTCAAGGACTTCGTCTTAATTTAACTGTGTATTAAGTAATGTCATTTTAGTCACATATTGAAAAATTACTATGCATGTATGATTATTACATATATGAATTTAATGTATGAAAATGACATACATGTATACGAGGAATGCATATTCATTCATATTTTGGACTCATGAACCTTTTCAGATTTAAACTCTAAGTGAATGTAGCCACTTACTTTTTCAATAATCTAAACTAGAATAGACATTAATAGAGATAAAACAGAAAAAAATTGCCAGGGGCTGGGGAATAGGAGATTATTAATGTTTAACAGGCACAGAGTTTCAGTTTTGCAAGATGAAAAAGTTCTGGAATCATACTGGCCATGGTTACACAGTAACATGAATGTACTTAATGCCGCTGAATCGTACATCTAAAAACAGTTAAAATGAAGTAAATAAGTAAATGCAAATGGTTTTCTCAAACTCACTACCATGCTTTTTTTCTTTTGTCTTTCCCCCTCCTACCTTCCTTCCTTCTTACCCTCTTTTCTCTGTCTCCCTCTCATTCCCTCCCTCCCCTCTCCCCCATCCCCCACCCCACCCCTACTCTCCTTCCCTTCCTTTTTTTCTTCCATTCTTTTCTTTTGGACTTTCATCTTACTTCCCAAAGCACGTATTCAGCCTTTTGTATGGTTTGCATGAAATTTTAAGACTGTCAATTTTCCCTATAAACTTTGATAAAGGTGCAAAGGGAAAAAGGAGACTTGATTCAACACACCATTTTCCTTTTATTGGTCTATAATGTTTACTGTAAATGTTTCCAAGAAATCTACTTATTCACATTTAAAGACTTTTTGGGAAAAAATCAAATAATGCAACACAAAATAAGTCAGAATTTAGATTTACCTTTTCCGAATATCAAGACAACTAAAGATTCAGTCTTCTGAGGTTCCAACACTCCAAACACAGCAAAAGTACCTTTTGGCTTCTTTGCTTCTCAGCTTTTGGTTGTACCTCAGAAAGATAACTTCCACCACACAAAACAAAATGGTTCTGCTTTCCACTCATGCTCTAGGACTGAAGCAAACTAACCGGAAAATGATGCTGTGGTCATGATGTTCACATAACAAAAGAGGATCTTGAAAGTATTTATTCAATATGCAAATGACAGTAACAGTGGGAAATATTCACAGCAGTAGTTTTCTTCATCCAAGCGAAGACAAGAGGCAAGGTTATTTAAAAGTTTTTAAGTAAAAAATGCAGTGTGGAAACCAGCATGTTTTGTAACAAGGAATAATTAAAAATAACTTGAACAGCCATCCACAAGGTAATGGTTAGATGAATTATAATACATCTATTAGATTGAATGTTAAACTAAGAATTTTTAATAATGGAATGATAATAAGCATCTATTAAGTAGTTATTCCAAAACAGTCATTCTAAATGTTCTACATATACTATTTCATTTGAAACAGAAGCTATTATCTCCGTTTAACAAACAGAAAGAATGACAAAGGGTCCAATGCTTGTTGAAGGCCACAAAGCTAGTAAACGGTGGAACTAGGATGTGCACCAGGCAATTAAATTCAGAACCCAAGGTCTTCATCACTACACTGTATTGCCTCCATGTGTACTGATGAAATGTGAGCTGCAGAACAACATATAGAGTAGGACTGCATCATGTACTGAGCGTGTGCTATGGACCAGGCACTTTTATAAATATTTCACCTGTACTAATTTAATCTTCATTACATCTCTATGAAACAGATATTCTAATTGCCATTTTACCAGTGAAAAAACTAGGGTGCAGAGAAGTTAGATATAAGATGCCCAATATCACACAGTTATAAGTGGTATAGAGTCTGTGTTTGAATCCAGGCAGCGTGGCTTCAAAGCCCATGTGCTTAACTTCTCTGCTATAACTGACTTTTTCTCCCTTTTAATTAGCTTAATACATGTAATGATGTTTGTGGAAAAGGATATAAGTCAAACTGTTCATAGTGGTTTCCTCTGGGAGGAGGGTGGCAGGTAGAGGGTAAAGGGGAAATTTTACCTTTTACTTCCTATATTTCTATACAGTTTGAATACTTCTACAAGGAATATATATTCATGCATTATTTGCGCAATTGAAAAATAAATAATTCTTATACATGAAAGGACAAGAAAAAATTATACAGCCTTCTTTATAAATGAAATCACAAGTGTTTGCCACATTTGTTAGAATGATTTCAAACCAAAATACAAATTGCCAAACTAGACTGAGCCAAATTTCTACCTAGTTGATACTTTTGGCTAATTATCAATACAGCTTTTATTTTACAAATTATTATTCCAAAGTAATTATCACAAACATCCCATGCAATAGGTTTATTATAATTCTGTGTGCCATACCAATCAATTTATTTTAGCTTGTCAAAGATATGTTCTTGTAAGAAATACTATATTAATTTAGCTTGAATTCAAAGAAATGGATCACAGCAAAATGAGGAAATAATATCTCAATCTCACACAGGTTGCCAGACAGATAATAAAAACCATTGTAAAAAAACAAGTTTTCTACCACTGTCACCACAAAGGAATATTAAAAGAAAATGGAGATCTCAAGTTGTTTCTAACTGAACTCCTTCATTAGTCACAGCCTATCTTTTTTGCCTCAGTCACCCCTGTATCCAGCTTATCCGAATCCTAGCAGTCCCCCATCCTAATAACCTCTGCTTTTCTCTAGGCATTTTGTTCTTGGATTGCTGCAGCCACTTCCAACATTGCCCCTTTTCAAATCCACTAGATGTGTTAGATCCACCTTTTGCCCAAACCTGCTAAATCTTTCAATAACTTCTAATTATCCATTGATTAACAATAATAATGATTTATTGAGTGTCATATAAGTCAAAGGTGGTCTTAGGTAACATCTGTGCTTATGTAGTCCTGACAGTAAATCTGCAAGTTATAATTTTGCGCATATTTGCAAAACAGGAAACAGCCTCAAAAAGACAAAAAAAAATTCAAAATCTAACGAGAACCCTGAATGTCTATGTTCTTTTCTTTGTTTACTTTTTCAGCTTTTATTCCTGCACTTGCTCCTAAAGCTCCAATTACCATGTTACTTCCTGACTGTTCCTTCTACCTAAAAGTCCTTTATTCTTCTTATTTCTTGGCAGACTATACATTCTTCAGGTTTCTAGTTTGCTCTCAGTTCTTAAGCACCTAGTCTGGTTAAGATTTTTCTAACATTGCATTTACCTTATCTTATTGGTTATCACTCTGTGAGTTCCTTGAAGGTAAAATGCTTTTTCTTACTCATATTGATGTGTTTGTTCCCAAGCAGAATAAAGAGTCTGACACTCACTATCATGAATTATAATTATCATTTTCTAAACTACTTGTACATGTTGGACCATGTGCCTAACACTTTTACATACTGAATTTATTTAATCTTACGTATGGTGATGCTATCTGATAGGCATCAATAGAGAAACTGACATTAAAAAAGAGATAATTTGCCCACGATCCATAACTATCAAGTTGTAGGGCCATGGAATCCAAATTTGCCTAACACAAAAGCTGGTGTTATGGTTCTTTGACCTTCCCTCTTAATTCCTATTGCCAATTTTTGGCAAACCTCTAAAATCCTAAAATGTTATCGCTATATTCAACTGCCGGAAAAGGTTAAAAGTTAGAAATAAAAGGTGGAATAATGCGCTATGAATGTATTCAAGAGGAAGCTGACGTTACAGTGCAAGTCATCATCTTACACAGGGAACAGAGGAAGTGCAGTGAGAGTCAGGAACTATTGCACTCACAATTGCGAAAACCAAAAAGTCAACTCCCAGAAGGAATGGGTGCTCTTCAAACCTCAGTCCTCAAAAAGGCAGGAGTACTAGAGAAGGGAAGGAGGCACCTCTCTGGGCTAAGAGGAAAAGTAACAAAGATTGCTGTGGAAGTCCAGTCCCATCCAGATCAACACTGGCAACATTTGTTCTGTCCCTAGAAGTCTAGGCAACGCAAGTTTTAATTCATCTCTTTCTCTTCGTTTGTGCCATTGTATTTTAGCCATTTTCTCCCTCAGGGGTCTCGGCCCTTCATTTACAGCTGCGGTTGCAGGGAGATGCGAAAATGGGCAGCAGTAATGTAGAGACCGTTTGCTCTTCCCGTTCCTCCTGGCCTGGGCCTCACAGAAGAGAGAAAAGAGGGGTTAACTGGTGTTTATGGCCCGTGGGAATTCAGACCCTTCCCCCCACCCCCAGGCCGGTGGAGGTTACTGATTACTTGCCAAGAGGCCCCGTATTTCCGGAATGGGCTCTCACCTGCGCCTGAAAGGCCCTACATTCCCAGCCAATCCTGAGCGCAGTGGCTGCCGGCCCTTAGCAACGGCCCTGAGGAAGGGCAGGCTCAAGACTTCGCAGAACGTTCCCGAGACATTGAAGTGACTTACTGCGGTTTACTTCCACAAAGTAGCCTCAGAGTGGAAACAATGAGCTCCATTAAAGTCTATTATTCCAGCGTATCAGGGTCTAGGGAGGTGAGTGGAAAGAAAAGAGTCTTAGCCTGGGGGGAAAAAAACCTAGAGTGAAGATACACTAACTGGGGATTTAAGGATTGTGCTAACATTACCATGCTCTTCCTGCCTTTCATTCTTCAGCTTCCTCCTCTCTAGGTTTTCTGGGGTGGGACGTGCGGGGGCGGGCAGGGCCTCAGACAATGTGGTTAATGCCCTCACACAGGTTGGGCTCTGGGGCCTGGTAGATTTGGAAGGTTCCAGTGTCCCAAACTCAACCAGATTAACGGCTTCCAATTTTGTGGATGTTTCCAATGGAAGTGATAAAGAACCATATTTAGAATGGGAGATGAGAAAGATAAAGATCCCTGCTTGGTATGGGAGAGGAAAACTGACCAAAACCTTCAGAAGACTGGGTAACCCCCAAAAGGTAAACTTAATTTTTAAGAGGGTGTATTTGCATAGAGCACATAATTTATTTTTTAATTTAAAAAGGTTTGTTAAATTTATTGGGGTGACATTGGTTAATAAGGTCATATTAAGTTTCAAGTGTTCATTTCTATGACACATGGTCTGTGTGCCCACCACCCAAAGTCAAATCATCTTCTATCACCATATATTTGGCTGTCTTTAACCTATACAACCCCCCATCCCTTCCCCCTCCCCCCAACCAGCATATTGTTGTCTGTGGCCCGTTTCAGCTTTGTATTGTAAATGTGAATGAAATCATATGGTTCTTAGCTATTTCTGACTGACTTATTCTCTTAGCATGATATTCTCAAGATTGGTCCATGTCACAAATGGCAGTATTTCATTTTTTCTTGTGTTTGAGTAGTAGTCCATTTCTTAACTGAGCGTAGATGAATTATTGTGACCAGGATATAGGAATATTGTAGAACAGTGCCTTCCAAAATCAATATATTGCCAACCACACATGCCATTTCAAATTTTCTAGTAGCCACTTAAAAGAGAGATGAAATTAATTTACTTTATTTTATACAAAACATACAAAATGTTATCACTGCAGCATATAAGCATTCTAAAATGTACATGTTATATATTCTTTTTTCACACCAAGTCCTCAAATTCCAGTATGTATTTTGCACTTATAGTATATTGTATTTTGGACTAGCCATACTTCAAGTGATCAGTAGTTACATGTGATTAGTGGTTAATACATTAAACAACTCAGTTATAGAAGGACCATTATATGGTTAAGGACATCATTGGACAAAGTTTTTGGAGAAGCATGAAAATTGAAGGATTTGGAATTGATTATAAATGATTGATAAACATCACATTCCTGCTGTCACATACTATGATAGGTACATGGAGGAATCAGAATTGATCTAAGCCTAGAAAGAATGCATTGCTTTTGCATAAAGCCTTGTCAGAAAGATTAGGGGTTTTGCCTGAGTACTATGAATAGCAAGGAGCAGTTTGAAAAGGAAAACTATAGACAATCTGACTCCTTTTTTTTTTAACGTTGTGATTTATGTTATTGAACGTGGTACTACAAGTCTGTAAGAGGGAATTAATTTGAACCACTAAAAACCACAGTGGAGGTAGCAGAAGACTTACTACCCACCTGTTGGTCTGTCCCTGAAACTGTAATGTAAAAATCATCTGCAGGACTTAAAACGTTCCTAGAAGTCACTGATAGAGAATCTAATACTGTGGTTTCGGAGTGGGGCAAGGCTGATGCTACTGGTCTTATGAACCACAGTCAAACTAGCATTGGTCTAAGCAACTCTTTTTAATAGGTTCTTCTGAAAAGGTTTTGAAAAACCACTACAAAAGTTTGACTTAAGTCATAGACACCATGCTTTTGCAATTTTAAAAACTAATGTGACTCAGAAAGTGGAAATGTTTCAGTTTGGAATTTCAAAAATTTCTGAGCTCTGAAATATAGGCAGAGGTTTCTGACAAACATTTATAACCCACTAGAGATTTTCAGTCTCCACTGACACCTTGCTAAAATCATTTGTACACACATTAAACATATTCATATGTTATATATACTCTATGTATGTGATGTAGATATATATAAAATTATATAACTTTTGTTCCTCAAAGAAATCTCATGTCATTAGAAGCTTTTTTCTTCCATAGCATAATGGACAGGGAAAATAAAAATGAAACATAATACCTTGGGATCAGTTGATTAACACCTTTCTATCACTTTACACCTTCATCCAGGTGAAGCAGAGACAGGAAGACGTTATCAGAATTTTAGATGCTTACAAAATAAATTACGAATTAATAGATATTTCTATCAGTTTGAAAAAACTTCAACAAATGAGGAGGAAGGTTTCCAGCCCTAAGGCTCTACCACCTCAGATATTCAATGGCCAAGAATATTGTGGAGTAAGTGTAAATGTGAATTCTTATTTATTTATTTATTTATTTATTTATGTATAGATTTTATTTATTTATCTTTAGAGGGAAAGGGGAGGAGAAAGGAAGAGAAATATCAACGTATGGTTGCCTCTTGTGCATCCCCTACTGGGAACTGGCCTAAAACCCAGGCATGTGCCCTGACTAGGAATCAAACTGTGAGCATGTGGTTCGCAGGCCACGCTCAATCCACCGAGCTATACCAGCCAGGGTCTTATTTTATTTTTATGTTACATCTTTTTTTTAAGATTTTATTTATTTATCTTTAGAGGTGCAGGGAAGGAGAGAAGGAGAGGAGGAGAGAAACATCAATGTACGGCTGCCTCTCGTGCATCCCCCACTGGGAACTGGCCTGCAACCCAGGCATGTGCCCTGACTGGGAATCGAACCACAATCCTTTGGTTCTCAGGCCCATGCTCAATCTATTGAGCTACACCAGCCAGGGCTATTTTTATGTTACCTCTTAAGGTCACATATTGTATGTGGGGAAATAATACATGTATGAAGTACGATGGTCAGGTTTCTCCATTCAGAATAGAAGCCTGAAGACAAAGCAATTTGTATTTTAGTACAAGAAGACTATCATAAAAGAAGCTATGTCATGATGCTTGTTGGGGAATGCTTATACAGTACTTCTCATTATATGTTATAGTATGAACTTCTGATACTCTGGGGGAATTTTTTTTTATCTAACTTAGCTGGCAGAAGCTTGAGAAAACCAGGCAAGATAATTAGGGAATTTACCTAGACACTTGAGTTTAATGAGTTCATAAATGAGAATTTTTAGCATTGATATTACAAATTAATTTTGATTCCTTTTAGGATTTTGAAATGTTTCACAAGGCAAAGGAAAACAAAGAGATTCTCAAGTTCCTGAAGATGGAATAAACGGGCAGTAATGACACAAAAAAGGTTTACTGACATGGATCTGTATATATTTCTTTGTACATCTGTTACTTTTCATTATAACAATAAAAAGCTTTCATTGAAATTAACTGCTACCTAGATTAAGTTGTATTTGTTAAGAGGTAGGGCTTTACCATTTCAGATCAGATTGGGCGTGTTCAGGGTGGTTTGGCCATACACAGGCTTTGGCATTTCAATCATGCATTAAAATCATTTATTTATTACACTGTGAATATTTTATAAAGCTGTGTGAAAAGGAAAACATTGTTTATTATCCATCCTTAAGTCAGTAGTAGTTGCCAATTTATAAGCAAGAAATGGACTTTTAGTGCAATTTTCCATTTATTTTGAGCTTTATTTTTTTCAAATGTTTCTTACCATGTTTGACAAAGGCTTACAATCTGTACTGGGGCTTTTAAAAAAGAAAAAAGCAAATAATTGGACCCCATTCCAAGTCCTCCTAAATGGAAATGAGGGAGAATAGAAATCTGTGTTTTTAACAAACTCCCCTGGAGCTCTCTTTTTCTACATTTCAGTCTGGAAACCAGTAGCAATTTTAGGTCACATCTCCCTGGACCTCCAGCTCTGCTATAAAATGGTAGTCTTCTTCCAAACCTATTTTTACTCCTGTGGTTCCTGTCTTATCAAATGGCAACTCCATTCAGTCAAACTCCGACTCAGAAACCTGGACATTATCCTTAATATTGCCTACTCCCTCACATCCATATGCAATCAGTCACCAATCCCAGTCACCCCACATCCTGCAGCTTTCCAGCTATTGCCTTTGCTCATGTCCTCACCATTTCTGCCTGTACTTTTGTAATAACATCCTATTTCTAGTTTTACTATTTTAATATCTGCCCCCTTCATTGCTGCTAAATCAGAATTTTTCAGTCTTGACTGAACCATAGAATCATCTGAGGAACTGTAAAAATACATGTCTGGATCCCGTCTTTAATGATTCTACCTACAACTATACTTGGGAACAATAGCATTAAAGGGATCTTTCTAAAACATAAGTTTACGTATATGTAGCCAGCAGCATAAAGTTTCTCACTAAGAAAAGCACATCTCGCAGAATCATCTGGAGAACATAATAAATATGCAGATTCCTGAGCCCTGCCCCAGAACTCTAAAATTGGGGCAAAGATATTTAAAGTTTAAATGAACAGCTCCAGATGACACACTCATTTCTGAGAAGTGTTAAAATCTAAACTTCATACTTCTTCTGTTTCTATTTTGTTCATTAGTATATCTTACTCATTAGATTCCACATATAGTATCTGTCTTTCTCTAACTGGCTTATTTCACTTAATATAATGACCTGTAGGTCCATCCATGCTGTCACAAAAAGTAAGATTTCCCTTTTTATGGCTGCGTAGTATTCCACTGTATAAATGTACTACAGATTTTTATCTGCTCTCTACTAATGGGCACTTGGGCTGTTTCCAGATCTTGGCTATTGTAAATAACACTCCTATGAACATAGGGGTGCATATATTCTTTCAAACTAGTGTTTCAGGTTATTTAGGATATATTCCCAGAAGTAGGATTGCTGGGTCAAAAAGTAGTTCCACTTTTAATTTTTGAGGAGACTCCATACTGTTTTCCACAGCATTCCTGCCAACAGTGCATGAAGTTTCCCTTTTTCCCACATCCTTGCCAGCACTTGTTTATTGATTGATTGATGGTAACCATTCACTCATTATGGTTTTAATTTGCATATCTCTGATAATTAGTGATGTTGAGTATCTTTTCTTATGTTTATAGGCCATTTCTTATGTGTATGTCCTCTTTGGAGGAGGGTGTATTCAGGTCCTTTGGTCATTTTTTAATTGGATTATTTTTTATGGTGTTGTTTTATGAGTTCTTTATAAGTTTTGGTATGAAACCCTTATCAGATCTTTTGGGAAATATGTCCTCTCATTCAATAGGCTGTCTTCTCACTTTGTTTGATGGTTTCTTTTGCTATGCAAAAACTTTTTAGTTTGATGTAGTTACATTTGTTTATTTTTTAAATTTTTTTGAAAGATTTTATTTATTTATTTTTAGAGAGAGGGGAAGGGAAGGAGAAACAGAGGGACAGAAACATCAGTACATGGTTGCCTCTCACATGCCCCCTACTGGAGACCTGGCCTGCATCCAGGCTTGTGCCCCAACTGGGAATTTAACTGGTGACCTTTTGGTTCACAGGCTGGCTCTCAATCCATTGAGCCACAACAGCCAGGGCTGTTTAACTTTTTAAGAACCTGCCAAACAGTTCCCAAAAATGGTTGTACTGTTTTACATTCCCAACAGCAGTGTAAGACAGTTCCAGATCCTCCATGTATGATCTGGCATAATCAGCCTTTTGATTGTAAAGATTGAATAGGTGTGCATTCTTCTAATGTCTAATGATATAGAACATCTTTTTATATGCCACTCACATTTTTTCTGTGGGGGAAATGCCTGCTCAGGTCTGTCTCCAATTTTTTATTGAGTTGTCTTGTTTCCTCATTATTAAAAGTTCTTGCCCTGGCTGGTGATTGCATAGGGCCTAGGGAGAAGGGGATGGGGAATAACTGCTAATTAATACAAAGTTTATTTTTTGGGTGTTGAAATATTCTAAACTTAAATTGTGATAGTTACACAACTCACAATATATTAAAAGTCTTCAGTTGTACACTATAAATGGGAAAACTTTAAGGTATGTGAATTATAGTTCAATGAAGATGTTAAAAAGGAAATTACATTAAAATAAACTTTGTATAAACAGTATGGTTAATCTTTTGGTAGAAATTAAATTTTTGCCTAATGAAAGGAGATGACTGATAATATTCAAAGATGAGGTAGAGAGATTGGGGTGGAAAATTGGAAGATTCAAATTAAAGAAATGTGAAGGTTCAAATGGAAAGTTATACTGAAATTTATTTATTTATTTAAAAATTTTATTTAGTTATTTTTCAAGTACAGTTTTTTGTCTATTTCTCCCATCCCGCCCCCCCCACCCCGTGCTCCCCACCTCCCTCCCATTTCCACCCCCCTTAGTTCTCATCCCTGTGTCCTTCCTATTTTTTCCTCCAAATCCCTCCCCTTTTTCCCCCCTTAAATTCCCTTCCCTCTCCCCTCTGGTCACTGTCCCCTTGTTCTCTATTTCAGTGTCTTTGTTTTTTTTTTTTCTGCTTGCTTGATACCAATTTATTTTACTCAGACAAAACATGAACACCAATCTTTCTATATTTTCAACATCCACAGCTGAGTAATAAAATCCATGTGAACCTTTCTTGTTTCTTTTGCTGAATTAATGGAATATATGTAGTGAAACCTGTCTCCACAAAATTCACTGTATTTAGACTTTTCAAGTAAGTAAGTAACAATCTGTTTCAAAATTATTTCTCCTGTACAGTCAGATTCCCAGAGGAGTGTTGGCACTTAACAATACAGTCAACAACCAATTTTCATTGTTTGGTGAAAATGAAAATCTTCCTAAAGGTCATGTTCTTTAAGGGCAATTAACCTCAAAAAAAGGAAAATAAAGTATTAGCAGATCTCAGCCCTGGCTGGTGTGGCTCAGTGGATTGAGTGCCAGCCTGCAAACCAAAGGGTTGCTGGTTCGGTTTCCAGTCAGGGCACATGCCTGGGTTGTGAGCCAGGTCCCCGGTGGGAGGCACACAAGAGGCAACCACACACTGATGTTTCTCTCCCTCTTTCCCTTTGTCCTGTCTCCTCTCTCTAAAAATGAAGAAATAAAATCTTTAAAACATGTATTAGCAGGTCTGAGCTACAAACAGAAAGATGCCAAAAGTAATACAAGTAGCAGCAGTTATATTTTCCAGGGAAATTCTGTGAAAATTCTTTATAAAACTCACCTTAATATTCAGAACTTCACTTCATTTTATTATATCTACCAAACATATAATACTCAGCTGAAAACATATGTCGATTTAGGAAGACTCAATTCAACCTTTTACTTTAAATATACATATGTTAATTGTAAGGTATAGTTTAGTAGACATTAAACATCTCAAAAAGGTCATCTATTTTTGAAGGGTGTTTTTGACAGTGTTAACTTAGTGGATACCAAAATAAAAGTAAAAATGTCCACATAGATTATTGCAAGTAGCATCATCAGCATTTAATAAAGCTCAGGAAAAAATATTGACCAATTTTTTACACATTTTTCCAGAATCTATTACAAAGCACCCTGTTTTCTCTAGAGTTCTCCAGAGCATAATTTTGTACACAAAACAATGGAATATTTCTTTGACTTCAGTGTATATTGCAAAATTCAGGAGCCTAAACAGAAAATTTAGAAATTCCATTTAAATCGTTTTCTTTGTTATTATCTCTTTTATCCTTCTTTACTCTCTGAAAACAATATGCATTACTCATCTAAAATTACTAGTAAACTCTTTAGAATCTCCAGGAACACATAACTTATATTTCCTAAAAGTACAGAGTTTATTTTAAAGCATCATGTTGAGTTTCAATCTCAGTAATCAAAGCCATGTCTTCATTATGTGCTGATTTTACCAAAGATCACGGACTTGAATACATCACATATGATATGATAATGTAATTTAAACAGGTGTTTTATTAATAAGGTTGTATGGAACTAAAGTACAATATGCATATCATCTGGGTGAGTGATTAAGGCCATAATATACCTTGTCTTCTTAAAAGGTTTTAGAATTAACATTTTAAAAAATGACCTTTTTATCTGATACTTGCACTATTCACTGGAATAGAGGCAATGAAAATATTCTCTTTACCTAAATTAATATATTCATACCATATATGGCCATGCTGAAATAAAAAGATCAAATATCTGAGAGACATTGACACTTGTGATCACAATTTGCTTTAAAAGGGGGAAACCACTAAGATATTTTTGGCAAAGACTTCTCCCAAATAGTCTCGGACAATGAATGCAGACCTATTTTATAACAGTTAACTAAAAGTCTGAGGTCTTTACAAAAAGGGTGCCACTTTAAATGTACTTACCATCCCACTTCTATAATATACATAAGCACCCTGGGCCAAGCAACTTCGAAACATGATTGCATCATAGCTGTGTAGTTAAGCAAGAAACATGTAAACTGAATGCGTCTTTTGTGTGTGTTGGGGGGATCATCTCTTCTGATCACTGAAATATGCAATGAAAGGCTACACTTAGAAGCCTAGAAAACCTGTGGTTCAGTACACAGAAGTTTCAACTACAAAAGAATGGGAATGTTATAGTTACTATAGGAAATTACAATGTCTGCCATATCATAAACATTACCTGCAACTACATTTTAGTCACAATAATGTCACATCAAAAAGGTACATGTTTTTGTTCACTAAAATTAATGAGGCAATTTGGAAACAAAAGACAGATTATTTCCCTCTCCTTTTTAAATTCTTCAACGTAGAGCTACAGATACACTTAAGCTGCAATATTAATACTAACAAAGTACACAAGTGTTTGCTTTTTAAAATCATTGCAGTATATAAAATGCCTTGGCAGATAACAAAACTATTCCATGACAGCTACTTAAAATTTTACGTTCATCTGGCATTCTCCTCATCATAGCATTCACATTTAATTATGTATTCATTTTGATTGTTTGCATGCAAAAACACCAACTAATCTATTATTTCAACACTAGCCTATTTCTTTTGAAGCCAAGATAATTCTGCTATTTTATATAAAAAAAAAAAAACAATGGAGACTCCTTTTCCGGGATGCTTAAGGCAGAATGTTTAAGGTTCATGCTTGCTGCTTTGCCTGAGCTTCAGCTTCCTGAAATGAAAAAACAAACAACATGGTTAGATTTAAATATCACAAAGCAGACACCCATATGTATTTTAATTGGACTATATTAGCTTAAAGTACTAAGAATAGTGAAAAGCAGAAAGTGGCCCTCAGAAATGACCGTCCTACCCGGGACATGAATCATCCTTTGTGCAACGTATCTAAACTATATACTGTATAGCTCGGTAGTCACTTAGTAGCTGTCCCAATTATCGGATCAACTACCTTACTGTTGTCCAGCTTGTGTCAACAGGAATGAAGTCCGCCTACATTTTTAAAGTATATTTTATTGATTATGCTATTACAGTTGTCCCATTACTCCCCTTTATTACCCTCCGCCCTGCACCCCCTCTCCCACCTGCATTCCCACCCACTTAGTTCATGTTTATGGGTTGTACATATAAGTTCTTTGGCTTCTCCATTTCACATTCTATTCTTTTTTTTAAGATTTTATTTATTTATTTTTAGAGAGAGGGGAAGTGAAGGAGAAAGACAGGGAGAGAAACATCCATATGTGGTTGCCCCTTGCCCATCCCCTACTGGGGACCTGGCCTGCAATCCAGTCATGTGCCCTGACTTGGAATCGAAGTGGCAACCCTTTGCTTCACAGGCCAGCACTTAATCCACTGAGCCACAACAGCCAGAGCTCCCAAAGTATTCTTAACTTCCCCCTGTCTGTTTTGTACCTACCAATTATGCTTCTTATTCCCTGTACCCCCCCAATTCTTCCCTCTGTGCCTCCCTGCTGATAACCCTCCATGTGATCTCCATCAATTTCTGTGATTCTGTTCCTGTTCTGTTTGCTTAGTTTTTGTTTAAGACCTCCTACTATTACTTGAAGGAGAGGCTGTCATTGTCTCAGGAAACAGACTATTGTTCCTTTCCTACTTCCTAAAAATACGTACTGACGTGAATGACTTAACATGGGTTTTACTAACTTATTTAAATAAAAATGCCTTACCTAACATTTCTTATGACTTAAATAAGTAATTTTAAGCAAGTTTGGTGAGGAAGCAGAATTTCATAGTGAGTCAGATAACCATGCTAGTAAATGGTTTGTAGTGAAAACACAAACAACAATAACACAGACTCTCAAAACTGGAGAAGGGGATGGAATTCAATGAAACTGTTTAACATAAAATTAGTTCCTAATAGCAAAATGTAAACTGATAGAACAGGGGACATATTCTGATCAAGCCAGACAATGTGGAGAAGACCTGTGGTAAAAGCCAAAGAAGCATTTAAAGTCCATGGCGCTGAGACATTTCATTATACAGGCAATTTAATTTTTGATTCTTTTCTTTATGTGGTCTCCATGGGAACACCGCCACTTGAAAAATTAATTTGTTGTTGGCAGAGAAAAAGCCCCAAATTTAGCCAGCAATTTAGCAACCAGTTTTGAAACTCAAATGCTCTCAGTGAATTTGAATAGATGACTGTAACATTTGCCTCACACAAAGACGATAAATGGCTGCCTGAGAAGATTACTATGAACTAAGATGCTTTGTGTCAATGTAGAACTGTAAAAGACAGCTAGAATAACAGAGTCTTTAAAATACTTACCACCTATTTGCAAATGGGTCAATCAGAAATTTGCTGCCTTTAATAGCTTGATAGAGAAGTCACTGTATTTACCTCTTACTCACATACTTATGTATTTCATTATGTGGATCTGACTGTCCTACTAGGGGTGAAGTGCACGCAGACAAGGGAAATTTTCTTTGTTATATTGCAAGACCTCTGGCTTAACATGAATACTTAATAAAGGTGGAAATCTTACTGATTTGAAAACTTAGCATAAATAAAGTGGCTTCTGAAGCAGGAAAAATCATACCTTTGAACCAGGTGGGGCTGTCAAGCCTAAAAAGGCATACACTGCATTATTTTCTCTGGCTTCAAAGAAGGCATCATAGTCCTTGGTGGGGGGAAAAGGCAAAAAAAAAATTAGTGATATGCAATCAAATAAAGGAAAGAAAATGAGGACATTTATTTAAAATAGCTTGACTAGTCAATCTCCTTGGTAGCAGGAGTCCCACTAAGTTCCATTGGATCTCATTTAATGTACGTTAGGAGATAAGGGGTTCTGTGGGGCAGGAACAGCAAAATGGCTTATTCCACATCACATAGAATTAAATATATCTCTGGACAACCAGCTTTCTCCACAGCCCAAAGCAGCCAACTATTTGCCAGTGAGATGCTGCATGGTCTGGCAGGGGTTTGTTCCAGTTTCCCATTATTTCTCTTCCATTGTTATTAGAGTAAAGGTGTCATCAGAACCTATGGTCACTCAGATATTAGGTGGATATAACCAAGACCATAAGAATAGTAAATCTGTACTGCGTTTGAAGGAAGACAATATGATTTTCAAGAACTATGACCAGAAGAGCAAGTGTTATTAAAAGGCTTCTATCCAGAGAATCAAAAAAGCCTTACATTACTAAAGTTGGTTGGGCTTTCTTTCCACTTTTATCTTCTAAGGCACAGGTGGCAAACACAAGGCCCTCCACCTTGTTTTATCCAGCCTCGGCGCCTTGTTTCTACCCAGTGGCAGGTGCCGAGCTCCTTGCCCCTAGTGAAGGAGTAGTTACATGTATACAGTCCTAAAGTTACACTCTGCCCCTTGAAGGCAACTGCAATGCTGATGTGGTCCCCAGTGAAAATGAGTTTGACACCCCTGCTCTAAGCCATTAAGTAGGCTCCAAAAGTAGCAAGCATAATTGCTTAAATTTGATTATGATAATCAATAGCCCACCTGCTTTGAAAACACCACCATGATTTATATCTGGCCTTAGTTTGCTTGATTTAAAACAGACAGATTTAGATAAAATTCAGATAAATTTTAATCAGATAAAATTTAGCCAGCACTTTAGCAACCAGTTTTGAAACTGAAATGCTCTCAGTGAATTTTAATAGATGACTGTAACATTTGCTCTAATAAAATCAGATTTATTTAGAGGTAGAAAGAACTCATAATTTGCTCACACCTGGAGGATCTAGAGGTATGAATTTTAGAGCCTCTCAAGCTACTGGTGACCGACTGCACCCCCAAAAACATCAGAATTCCTCTCTTATTTATAGATTCTTTTTTAACAGAGTCAGAACTGTTTAGCCTCACTGAAATCTCCACAAGTATTGGCGCAAAGTATCTTTTTGTGTGCCCTAGATGCTGACAAAGGAGGAATAACCCCTAAACAACATGGAAGCATATATGAGTAGCTTCCTATCCTCTTTCAGCTCACTGTTCAAAAAAGTAAAACTAACTGGATCTTGATACCAGTTCCATACTGAGAGACACATGGTCTATAAGCTCCTCAAGGTAAATAAACAATATAGGTCATGTTTATCTATACCCAACCACTTGGAAGTAACCTCAAAATGCTAGTTTCAAAAATCCAACAGTCATACAAGAGACATTTCTAACTAATAGTAAGACAACAAAAACAACACATGTCAGTCTTTAAATCCATGTGAAAGAAAAAAAGGACCTCAGCTTTATTGAAATCTGAATTAAAAAACTATGAACCACAGCCCTGGCTGGTGGGACTCAGTGGATTGAGTGCTGGCCCATGAACCAAACGGTCACCAGTTCGATTCCCAGTCAGGGCACATGCTTGGGTTGCAGGCCAGATCCCCACTAGGGGACACATGAGAGGCAGCCACACATTGATGTTTCTCTCTCCCTTTTTCCCTCCCTTCCCCTCTCTCTGAAAATAAATAAAATATTTTTAAATAATAAAAAATATAAGCAACAATTAAAATTTTAAAAATAGAAAAATTTCTTGCATTCCATGATGAATAAAGCACAACCAGGCCTGGGGCAGGGGGGAAGTGGTATGTAAGGGACTCTGTCTTTGTTTCAAGTGTTTTAGAATCAAAATATATGATCATTTATTGGCCTTGGACTCAGCAAACATAAACAGGTTTGTGACTGGGAGAAAAGATTAGTTTTTCAATTAACCCAGATAAATAATTAAATCCACAAATATGTATTGAGCAACCACTACATTCCAATCACTGTTCTTGGTGATAAGAATACAAGAGTAAACAAAACAGACTGACACAGTCTGCTTCTTAAATAGGAATTGTCTTGGGAAAAAGGTAAAGATAATTTATTTATGCCTCTGAGATTGCAATAACATTAATCCAGAATGTATTCTACTATATAGTGGTATCATATTATTTGTCCTTTCATGGAAATGTATTTTACTTCTTCATATACATAGCATAAGGTCTTTTGGAACAAGCATTACTTTATAAATTTTGGATCTTCTATATCAGAGCCTCACATGTGTAGGGAGTGTAGTTGTTTCAGTCACATTCCAGTCTGGAAATAAAAACCTCAGCCACCATGAGTGTTTCTCAACAGGAGGTAATTTTTCTCACAGGAACATCTGGCAAAGTCTGAAGATATGTTTGGTTTTTCACAACTGGGAGAGTGCTACTGGTATTCCAAGATAGAATCCAGGGGTGCTACTAAACATCCTATAATGTACAGGGCAACCACCCACAAGAAAGAACTGTCCAACTGAAGATGTCAGTATTATCAAGGTGGAGGAGCCTTGAGAGAGTTTAAATGGGGAATTTCAGATTAAGAGCTACTTCCAAAAGATTAAAAAGCTGCAAGTCAACCAAGTGATGGTGAGGCAACCCAGCCAGAGATTAGTAAAAGCAGGAAGCTGCTACCAGATCTAGGGTAGAAGGAAAAAGTGGAGAAGACGGTATCACAGGAACCAGGAACTGGGGAACCTGGTAGAGCTGCTACCAAAGGAGATTCAACCACTGTCATGGACCCTCCAGATAGAAAGGAGGGGCAAACTTTGCCTTTCCTCTTCTACTGTTGTCTACTCCTCCAACCAGCACGCCCTATTATCAGCCAAACCTAATAGGCAGCCACCTGGCAATGAAGATTAGGAAACGTCATTTGCTGAGGTCAGACCCCCCACAATACATAATGGAGCCAGAAAAGAATGAAAACAGGAACTTTGAGTAAATGGGGAAATGAATAATACAGTGATTTAATAGAAGGAGTAATACCTTCAGAGTAAGAGAGATCTAGGTTTAAATTCTAGGTGCATCACTTAATTGTGTGATTAGAAAGTCAGTTAAACTCTTGTAGGCCTCAATTTCTTCATCTATTTAAAGTAAGGATAACTATACCTACCTCATGACATTAGCATGAGAACTGACTGACATAATGCACATAAAACATGTATCACAATAGCTGACATGTAATATGTTTTGTATGAATGGTTGCTATATATTCTTCTAAGTTCCTGTATAGAGACAAATCTTCATTCTTACTGTTATTGAACTCCTAACTCAGTGCCTGGCAGAGCAAACACTCAATGTTTATTTGTGTGGTTGAGTCTCACCTCCTACCCCTTCCTTTCCATTTTCCCATTTCTCAGTGATACTTGCTTTATTTCTATAGCATATTGCATTCCCTTGCAGTGTGATTTCCAAAGGAGAAATAAGCCAAATAAATACTGTTTCTCAAAGTTACCCTTATAATCCAAACTGTGTTTGTTTTCTATAGTCAAACAAATTCAAATATCTGCTTTAAAAGAGACAGAGGTTAAAACAATGTATGCTGGCTTAGGTTGGACTGTATGAACTCTGAGGCCTCTTCCAACCTCTCCGATTCACCAATTTTCAGAAATTTCAAGTATAGAGGAAAGAAGGTTTCACTATCTAAATGGAGAGCATAATTGCCTTTTCCTTATCTGCAGAGGACATCTTTACATGTTGGCGTGTCTGTAGCAACAGATGAAATTTTCAGGCTCTCCTCCTTGGAACTGGCAAATTCAATCCACAGACTTTTGTGCCAATGAACTTCTCAAACTTTCTATACCTGTCCCTTAGATGCTTTAAATTGGTACATGAAAAAATCCCCACCAAAAAGTGTCCGTCTCACTCCCTTATAAACCTATGAGCTGGAAGATTTTGATGGCTGGCTCTGAAAACATTTGTTCCTCAGCCATGCTAATTCTGCAAATACAGCAATACAAACAATTCTTTACTGGAAATTCTGGTAGCTCTTACCTAGCTTTCTGTACAATGACTACATAGACACTCTCTGATTGTTTGACGTATGTATGACTCTTCCCCTACCTCACTCCTAACCAGCTCCTTTAGAGAAGCAGCTGTGTTTTATTTATATTTGCACTTGCCACTGTGCATAGAATGGCCATAAGCTACAAGTGGTACTTAAATATACAGCAGATAAAGAATGAAGGAAATCACTCAATGGTTTAAATGAAGACTCAATGAGATGGCATACCTGAAAGCACCAGTCACTAGGCAAAAATAAATTTTCCCCTGTGCCTTACATAAGTCCAATGAGCTAAATTACAATCTTAACAACATTCATTAATGATGGCAGAATAAAAGTATTGCTGGCTTCAAGTAGAAAATTAGACATTCCTCTCTTTTTGTAACTAATGTGAATCTAAATAAGTTAAATGGCTGACTTCTTTTCAGAGACTCCTTCATGGACATACCAGAAACAATCATAAAACTGCTGTAGGTGGAATTCAGATGAAGAAATTTAAAGCTATATGCCAAAGGTCTGTACTTATGCATTTGCAGATAATTTTTGGTGGATGACCCATTCATTTGTCTTCCCGTCTAGGGAAAATATCTCAGCTGCCTAGGATAGATGAAGAGAATGAACAGGAGAAATGACTGTGTGCAGGTCTGGGCAAGGGACTGACACGGATAGGATGGATTTCAGGCAATCCCTTTCATAACCAACCAAACAAAAAAATCCCAAGAATTTACATGGATTCCTTACCCCACGGTACTGGCTTTCATTGAAAATCTGAGGAGGCAGGGGGTATCCTGTGGCTGGTCGACTGTTCTCAGGTACATTTTCTCTCATCCACTTCCGATTTTCTTCGTTGGCAGCAATGTCTTTTTCTTCAAATCCTATTTTGTTAGCTTCTAAAAAACCAAGCACATCTTGCTGTTTCTTCTTAATCTAGGACCCAAAGGATAAGAAAGTGTATTGTTGAGCAAACAGCTTCTGTTATTTTCAAATTCAAAAGAAGTCAGTGTTTGTGAACTAGCCTAAATAGAGTTAGACCGCGGCGAAGATTTGGAGTTTCACAGAAGATACATGATTTTCCCTTTATTATGTTGCTGTTAACAATGTCTCAGGTGGATTGAAGAGCTCTCAGACCACAGATGCTTTTGTCAACCTTTTGCTTTTTGTTGCACTGAAAACTCCCACATCTAATGATGAAAAAGTAAGGCTAACTGATGCATATAAATAACCTAAAATGCCCTTAACTGAAAAGTATGAATAGTGGGAAGATTTGTGTTCTGATTACCTACAGGCTTCTCTTACTTTCAGCTTCTGTTGAAAGACTTCACAAAGTGTACTAGCTGTCTTAACACACATCCTGTAGTGAACAGAGATGAATCTTTCCTCTATGTTGCCATGTATAATGTGCACCGACATTTCTGGCCCAAACTTGCAGGAAAAAAAATCTTTTGTCTTAATTTTTTAATTCCATTTGTTATTTATTTCTATTTAGATAACTTGGTTTTGTATTATAAAGAAATTTTAGCACTTATTTTTGAATATATGGATATTATTATTGCTTTCTAGAGTTATATTTTTAAAACATAAGTGTAAATAAAAGAATTAAAAACCTTTATATAGATACAGAAGTAGTACAACCCATCTATAATGTACATCCTTAGTTTTCCCTTAAATATCTGGGCAGAAAAGTGTACATTATACATGGCAACATACAGTATGTTTGGAATATACTTGTACCACTTTTTAGTCCTTAATATATGTTGCTAAGTATCTTTCATGTGTATCTGTGCCACTTCTTTAGCTAGTTTAACAGGTAGAGATAATACATTTTTATGTCTCTGAATCATACCTAGAAGAGAGTTTTAAAATAGTAAAATTAGTCCTGGCTGGTGTAGCTCAGTGGATTGAGTGCGGGCCTGCGAACCAAAGGATCATGGTTCAATTCCCAGTCGGGGCACATGCCTGGGTTGTGGGCCAGTTCCCAGCAGGGGACACAGGAGTGGCAACCATACATTGATATTTCTCTCCCTCTCTCCTTCCTTTCCCCTCTAGAGATAAATAAATAAAATCTTTAAAAAATATTTTTTTAAAAATAGTAAAATTAATACTTTAAGTTAGGCTTCTCCTCTAATATGCATTTTTTGAGAACCTTAATTCACATATCTATGACAATTTATTCAAATGTGAAACTCTTAACATTTCTGAGGTACACAGCATAATCAAACATTTCCTCATGGAGTTACACTAAAAAGACACATAGAGTAGCATCATCAGAAACATAAACTCAAAAGAAGCAGCCCTCCCAATGGAAATAAAAATGCAAATAAAAAACTTTCACAGTTACATCCTCTCTGGACTCACACCCGCCAAAGACACATATGTTGTATTTCTGTCCAGAAATACACAAAGGTTGTATTTCTGTCCTAACTTCCTTGTGATTGTGTGCAAGTAGTTTTTTCTCTCATCATGTAACCCCAAAGAAAAAATTCCCAATTTCTCCCAATAAGAACTGAAATTTGTACAGGCTATTTAGATCAGAGGATAGAATGCCCTTCTTTAAAGATCAGTTGGCAGGCCCTGGCTGGTGTAGCTCAGTGGATTGAGTGCGGGCCTGCGAACCACAGGATCGCTGTTCGATTCCCAGTCAGGGCACATGCCTGGGTTGCAGGCCAGTTCCCAGCAGGGGACTCACGAGAGGCAACCATACATTGATATTTCTCTCCTTCCCTTCCTCTCTCTAAAAAAATAAATTTAAAAAAATCTTAAAGATCAGTTACCAGCACAATCTGCAACAAGATAATTTTTATTTCCTTATTATCTTATAAAATCAAAATTTCAGTCCTAAACATAACATACATGTGACTGAAAACCATACATTGCAAGAACGATTAGGGATGGGTGTTATAAGAGTTCACAAAGGAATATAATTTGTATTTCCTACAGGAAAAAATATTCTGGCATTAAAAGGTTATTGATAAGTTATTTCCATCCACATGTTAGGGTTGGAAATTCCAGGTATCTTTCCTTCCAAAGACACAAAGCAGAGCTACTGAGGAATTGTTGTCTGGAGGAAAATAGCTGCTCTCCAGCGTCAGTAAATTCCTTGTATGTTCCTTTTAAGAGGAAGGAACATGACAAGGTATGTGCTTTAGAACAGGCCAGTATAAATGTTCAAATTTCAAAAGAAGAATGACACTTGTTATTATGCTTCAAATGGGAAAACAAGAGTCTTTTTCATGAAAGTGTGAGCCTACCATAAAACATTTAATGAAGGTGGGGTTTTTGTCTTGTTTTATAATTAACCTCTGGCACATTGTCTCACCTGATGCTTTAATGAACACTGACGAGTGGTTCCAACTATAGTGCACTGAACTCTAAAAGGATTACACAAAATTATATTTAGTAGTCATTTCAACACTGTATCTTGGGAGCCTGTTACATGTGTAAAAATTTTATCTGAGGTTCTTTAAAATGTCTGAAGAAAAATAGCAGAAATCCTCACACAGGATTACAATCTAGTAGTAAGGATGAGACATAAATTTAAAAGTTCTCCCTGACTGGTGTGGCTCAGTGGACTGAGTTTCATCCTGTGGAAAGGGTCTCTGGTTCGATTCCCAGTCAGGGCACATGCCTGGGTTATGGGCCAGGTCCCCAGTAGGGGGCGCATGAGAGACCACTACGCATGGATGGTTCTCTCCCTCTCTCCTTCCCCTCTCTTTTTCCTTCTCTCCCCATCTCTCTAAAAATAAAATAAAATCTTTAAAAATTCAATTACAACATGGTGTTTAAATATGAAGCCAAGACAGTTACCCATACAAAGTCGTTAGGTGAGAAGGGCCTACTGAATGTCAAAGCCAGTGAGGGCAAAACACAGAAGGGAGAGCAAGCACTCATTGCTATTATTTATGCCACTTAGACAAAGCTTAGTAATGATAGCACAAATGCTATATACTACATCCATGAATTCAATGTTTTGTTTTAGTGAAAGGATGATGTAAAGTTTAACAAAAGTTTAAATGGCCACCTGTGAAAACTGAACAAATGCGATAGCGTATTGCACTAGCGCAATGAAGGTGTTACTAGTACAAAACAAACTTGGAAACATTCTAAATGGACACTCACAATTTCTATGACTAAATTCTTACACATACTTAAGGCCTTTTAATGAATAAACAAGTGTATGGGTATGTATTTTGTCATTTTCCACAGGTTATAATGTGTTACCTAGTCAACTTCTGCAAAGACAAATTCAGATACATAGATTTCCTCCCATTGGTTCTGTTTATTTCAAACACTAACCCCTAAGAAGGGCCACTCTACCTTATAGGAAAATAATAAGCCTGTTTTTGCCTAGCCTGTGCCTAAGGATTTAACAGTGGGGTAAAGGAGAGTGAATAAATAGCATTTAAATCTGCCTTTTTATTCTTATTCTAATCTACTTACAAAATCTATCTAAAAGGAAAATCAAATCTGCATCTGCAGTGAGTCTGTTTGGCATTGGCCCACTGCAGTGTGAGCCCTGCATGGTCCTTTTGTGCCCAAAGCCATCTCTGTGTGTTTTTAAATGAATACTGTCAGGAGTCTGGAAGCCACTGGCTTCCTATTGCTTAATCCAATGGAATAACCACAGCAAGAGGCACTTGTTTTCAACTTGTCTATTTTGCAATAGTTTGAAAAATGCTTTGATCACAATCAGCCATGTAAAACTTACAATTCACAGCTCTTTATCAGCAAGTCTGCAATAACTCTGGGTTAAGATGACTATTAAGAATTTTCTTTGAAGGTCAGGGTGGGGTGCAGGGGCAGAGCGGAGAGGGCAGAAGTGGGGGTGGGAATGGGGAACATCTATAATAGTGTGAACAATAAATAACTTTTTTCTTGTTCTCCCACCTCTATCTACCTATACCTCCCTAGAGTTGTCTGGTGACAGACGTCCCAAAATGTGGCAGCAAAAGCACACAATCTAAGTTTTGCTATTTTCCTGCTGCCAAAAGAAAAAAAAAATCTAGTGTTATTGTTTCCTGTTTGGTTGCAATTCTTTTTTTAAAGGATTTTATTTATTTCTTTTTAGAGAGGGGGAGGGAAGGAGAAAGGGAGAGAAACATCAATGTGTGGTTGCCTCTCATGCACCCCCTACTGGGAACCTGATCTGGCCCACAACTCAGGCATGCTCCTTGACTTGGAATCAAATGGTGACCCTTTGGAGCGCAGGCCACAACTCAATCCACTGAGCCACACCAGCCAGGGCTTTAGTTGCAATTCTAACCACATCAAAAGAGATGTTAAGGCCCAAGTAATTTCAAAAACTGAGCCTGGTATGCAAAGAGGAGAAATTATATATTAATGGTAGTTTTTAAAAATAGCTAAGTCTTAATGTGGTCACAGTAAAGAGAATACAGTCATGCCCATTTTCTGGGTTAAAAAAGGTTTTCTTAAATAAGTGAAATAGTCCTAAATAACCTCGTCTATACAGCCTTTTGTTATCTGGTACTTTTATCTGCCCATACCTTTTTTTAGAGTCAGAAGGACCTTTAATGTCCCTCCCATTTCTTCAGAGATGGCTTTCTGTACACACACAGGGGGCCGTAAAATATGGAGCTCTGGGAGTACCATCCTACCTTAAAATTCTATCCTCTGATGCCTTAAACCCTACCATTACTGATTCACTACCTTGGCCTTCATAGAAAGGTCAGGCAGTGTGCACGTTTGGAAGGGAGGGAGCAACTGCCTAGAGACCCACAGGTAAGGAAGACAGTAAAGTTTGTCTGCCTTAGAACTGTTCCCATCATTGTTCCTGTCTAAACTTTAACAAGATCATGTGCAAAAGCAGCAGGAATGTCCTCCCTGGATCATCCCAAGAGGAAATTTCCAAACTTAATTATATGTTAGTAACTGGGTTAAGTTTTGTATAAGGTAAAGAGAAAGGAAGACTA